AGATGACCTGAGCTACAAATAACTCTTACTAGTTCAATTTAATTGCATGCATAGTGAACAGCAATAAGAGTAACTACTCTGTCGATAATCAACCTTTTGAAAGCAGACAATTAGAAGGCATATTAAGAAACATATATGAACTTTGATATTGGGAAGGAATATTATGCGGAAAAGGAGTAAGCAAAACATATAGATTGCATAAAAGTCGTGAAAAGAAGAAAAATAACAAAGTCAAAATCCTTTCACTATCAATATATTAGCCACTTCAATGCATAAGTTAGCAACTTACTGGCCTCACTGAACAACTATAAAACTTTTTGTCTGTTACCACTTTCTCAAAATTCAGTACTCAGCAATAGATATGAATTGCCAAGACCTTTGAGAAGCCTAATGCATGTCACTGGTACATACATGTCCATCACTCACCAACACTTACAAAATCACCACATAATCCTATCTTGGAATTACCATCCAGTTGAGAAAATTATAGAAAAATGAACCAAAGTAGCCAATTATCTCAGCTTCAACAATCAATTGAAAAATCCGCTGCCCCAGACATCAATTATGCCTTCCATAAAAATCTATATTGAACGCAAAAGCAGGAATAATTCGACTAGAGAAAGCTTTCTTCATCAAAATGCATTCTAGATGGAATATTTAGCTAAAATATACCTGCACCATTTCACTGATAAATTGAAGACCGCCAGGTCCAATAAGTGAACCTGCAAGAAGATAGCCCACGATAACCTATCACAAGTAAACATTAGACAACTGTCATGTCAATATCTTATCTACTTAACAAAGTACCCAAACATGTAGAGAAACAACCAGGACAATTCATTAAAGGAATGAGAACTTGTTATCTTGAAGTACAAACCGGCTGTCCCAGACAGGAAAATATGATTCCACCAATGGCAGCAGAGACTACAACCACCACCAAATCAGATATCAGCCTGCAGACAGACACATAGTTCAGTCTCTAGGATTATATAGAAAATAACTAAAACTATAAAAACTACAACAGAAAATTTAATAACAATTATCATGCAAATTCAATCAATTGCATCTGTTGTCAATGAATCACAACAATTATGCAGATATAGAAGTAACTGACCTTAGATCTACTTGAAGAACTGGATATTTGGATTTCTTATTTGACATCACATAACGATTGTGCTGCCATGAATGAAACAGGTAACCAATTACCCAATGTACTAGCATCTTGCTAAAACATCTGCATAATTATCAATTAGTAAGCAGTAAGCTTACATCATTGTCTATCAAGGTTGTGTCATCAGAACCATCATTTTCAAGGTTGAGCATATCCTGAATTTTAGAAGATATGGTAGCACTGCCACAAAAAAATAAAAAGATAAATAAATAAAAATAAAAGTACGAGAAGAAAAGCAAAGGTAAGTCAATTTCAGGCTACAACAATGGAGTATCCACAATGGCAGAAAGCAGTTTATATCATACAATGCGTAGATAGGCATCTTCTTACTTAGCTTCCTGAGTATCATTCTTCTTTGCTTTCTCGTGAGTAATTTTAACCACAGTCTCCAATACTGCCTGTAAGAATGCTAAGTACCAATCATAAGAGGAAAAAAATACCAAAATATCTAGAATGATAAGTGACACAAACCATTAAAATTAATGTAAAATAAGTCTTTTCAAACGTGAATTAATCACTATTGAATTTATTTATAAAAGAAAAGGCCATGTTCACTGAACATATACAGACCATTTGCCTGCAGAAACATAACCATAGAGTTTAACACTTGAACAAAGTCAATCAAAATGTCAGCTATTCAATAATATACCAACTTTTACAAGTAAGGTTCAGATATGGAGCATCAGATGTGATCCTATTGATGTATAAACAATTGAAGTATAAAACTATAAGCATCCTTCATTGTGCAGCTTTCACAAGATTGCGAAATAGGAGTTATGAATGCATATGACGTCAATAAGATACAGTAAAACTGCCTTAGGTCCTTGAAAAGCTCGTAAGGAAAGGCAAAACCTACTTGCTCATCTGCTACGCTGCTGTTGAAGCTGCTTGCACCGGAACCTAGAGAAAAAACAATAAATATCAGATCTCAATTATGTGATGGAAATTGAACCACAAACAATCTAATGCAGCATTAGAATGTAAGACAAGAAGAATCATCTGTAAGCTTAATACAGGTACTCTTAAGCTTGATACAAATGTTTGGAGGAATGGTCACACGCAGCTTGAACCAAAATCTAAACCATATTTAGATCAGTCCCCTTGGAAAAATATCCACACAGAAATACATGCCAGTCAAATATGGTGATATCATTCATTTATTCCAAAATTATCTCTTAAAGTTTGATTACTCTTTGGAAGCATCAATTTCTTGTAATTGCACGAATAACAGGCGTTTCCAGATACCGCTTGGCCATAGTCGCCACACGTCAACAATTGACTTTGCAGCAAAGTTAGCACTTTGCAGCATTGTAAAACAATTGACTTTCAATTTGTATAGACACCATCGCCACAAGAAACTTAGTTTCAAGCTAAAACAAAAGCAAAGAAGGCAACAAGTATAACGAAAAACCAAGTAAAAAGAATTCCGACGTAATGCCAAAATTCACAGTTTTGTGCACTTAAATTCAACAAGTGGAAAGCAAACCCAATATTCTAAGATTCAAAAAAGAGAGAGGGGAGAAGAAAACCTTCAGGCTGGTCGTTGTCAGAAGAGAACTCCCTCTCAAGAACACGATCAAACATCTGGGCAATGCTTCCATCGCCGCTCTCCGGCGCAGACGAATTTACTAAACTGCCATAAAACCTTTGCCTGATTTCTTGCTCCGATCTCGCCGACAACGAGATTCTTGCACAAAAAGCAATTAACATAAGAAACCAAATCGACGCCAATCCACCATAAACCCTCCCCATTGCACAGGAATGAAAAATTTTCCTTGGAAAACAATGAGATTATTATTATATCCAAAGAAAATTGTAAACTCTAATCAAGTGAACGTTCCAGAAGTTGTGTCCGAGGGTTTCGTAAATGGAAGGCAAAGGCCAGGGAGGGTGGAAAAGTTGGGGGTGGCAAATCAATTGGTTAGGTACTTAGGTTGGTTAATATTTCAGTGCGGGCGGGATGCTGAATTGAGTCGTTGCTTTAATTAATTAAATATTAAATACACCTAAAATGTGAATTGATTATGAATTCTTTTCATTGCGTAGGTCCACCAATCGCTTTCAACAAGCCACGTCAACATCGAAGAATGCTCCCACCGCAAGACGGCGCGTGGGACAGCACAGTAGTACGTAGTATTTGTGCGAGGTAATGAGCCCAGAAAGCCGGTGCCGGAGTTGCTGGTTTGGGAAGGTAACAGACTCCCGCCGTTGGGGGAGGTTTGTGATCCAGTTGATATTTCTGGATTTTCCGGTCCCCTTTAGCCGCGGAGGTTTGTCGGGCAGGTCAGGAGACATTTGGATGTTAAATACCCCGCTAGGAAGGCCCAATTCACGTGACCCATTCTTCTTGGAGGAAAAATACTACACGATTCAATCTGTTCAAGAGTTGGGTTTGGGCAGCTGAGACCCGCAACGGCGGCGAGGCATCTGGAGACACGCGTCAGACACCCAATGTTCGATGTTGTAGTAAACTAGTTTACATTGGAGGCATGAAGGTCGTGTCCCAAAATTTAACTTAATTACTGGGTACAGCAGTCAAGTGATTTTTTTTAATTGATATAATTTTGGTATATAAATAGAATTTAAAAATCAAGAGAAAATTCTGAAATAGTCGAATGGATGATTTTTTTTTTTGTTCATACGATATTTGAAGCAAAACCCAAAAAATATATATATAACATTTACACAATACAACATTCTCATTCACAGGTTTGCTAGCTGAGTGTAGTTGAAATCGAGTAATGCACAGCTCGACCTTGTTGACTTCTTCGAAAATAAGTTTAATCTTGAATTTGAACTTATTTTACCTTACTCGAATCCAACCAAATCGAGATCAATCAAATTTTCAAACTCTAATTTTTAGTAAATTTCATAATCTTGTAATAAAAATTTTAAAATTATATTATAAACACACTACTTGATAATGCTTGATAAATACTCGAGTTTTTTTTTATTCGAACTCGACTCAATTATCTTTATAAAGTAACTTGAACTCAGCTTAAATTCGATCATTTGATCAAGCTATCTATGAATTCGAGTCAAATAGTTTGGTTAATTTACACTCCCATTCATCCCCACAAGCCCTAAAGAGGAAAATGACAAATGGTGTATGAAACTTCTCAATCAAAAAGAAAGATTTGAGCCAATGCACTTGCGCTTAGCAGTGTCATTAGTTATGGTCCCCAATGAAGATCATTGCACGAGTTTATATAACATTTTGTTGACAAAAAAAAAATTAAATTCAAATATTTTAAGCTCAAGTTGCGGTCACAATTGCCAGTGTTTGGATACTCAAAATTTTCCAAATGCTATTTTATTTATATTATAAATATGTTTTATTAGTCATCTTTTAATCGTAATTTTTTATCTTTCATACATTGGATCACAAATTATGTTATATTAGTAATTATTTCAAAAATTACTCTATTCAGTTACTTATGGCACACATCAAATATTGTCAGGGATTTTGTGCGATGAACAACCACAAAGGTGGGAAAAAGTCCCTGCAACTAAACAGTTAAAGATGACAAGAAAATTCTCCATGATGATTGCCTAAAGGTAAAGGGAAATTATTATTATTGTTTATTTTTCAGGAAAATTGAAACTAAAGTGGCCTGTCTGGGCTAAGAAAAGACGTGTTTGCCTTCTACTCCTATCCATCGAATGGCGGAAGATTTTTCGCGAGGGAATGGAATCAAATATATTTATTTATTTCGTCATTATAATTTTTAATATATTTTTTTTATTTTTTTAATTATTTTTTTATTTCACATATATCACATTACAAAAAATATTAAATAAAAATATCTCAAATAACCTACAATTCAAACAAACCCTTAAGTCAAACCACCGACAAGACAACGATGAGAAGGGGCGCGTGGCCGCCACAGGTTCATCCCCATCCCTCAATCTTCCCTCACAACTCATTTTACGTGGACAGCCGCCCACCAACAGCCTCAGGTCTCAACACAATCAAAGCTTTTACTTAGCGATTCTTCCTCAAGTTTCAGAACTCCACAAGGACCACAAAAAAAAAAAAAAAAGAAAGAAAGAAGAAAAACTCTGGCGTATCTATGGCGTCCATGGCTAGTGCAAGTGTAGCTCCTGCTGGATTCTCATACGGCAGGCCTCCATTTTCTGCTTCAGAGAAGCCGAGGAGAACGGTGGTGGTGAGGGCTGAAGCCGTAAACCCGGGTATCAGGAAGACCGAAGACAAAGTGGTGGACTCTGTTGTTATCACCGAACTGAATAAGCCTCTCACTGCTTACTGCAGGTTTTTCATTTACTATCTCTTGAGTACTTAAATCACTTCCAACTTTTCTGATTACCTTGTTGGATCATAGATGGGAAACATGTTTTCTTTTTCCGTTTTTTGGGAATTAATCTGTCTGGAAGCCTTGTAGATTAATTCTTTGCTCAAAGTAGAATATGAACTTAACAGGCCTTTGTATTCAGACACTACCCTCTAGGTATTAAGCCTAAAATATTTATAGAAGTCAATTTTATCGTGAATGCCTAACATTTAATTATGTTAAGTGCGAATTCAGGCCATAGCCAGGGGTTTTTGATGACACAGTCAAAATTCTTTTGAGCGGTGACGGATTGGTTGACTTGTTGGAGCAAGTGTTGGCGGTCTGGGACTTTCCCTTTATGCGATGGAAGCCATGTGAAGCACAATAAGGCTACCGGAGACAATGTTGGGCCTCTGCTAGTGAAGAAGCAGTGAATGGTAATGATATAGCACTATACATTCTCGAATATTCCAAACTTGGTGCAGCACAGTATATCGTGTTCTGTTGGGGAAATCTTTGTATGCTCTTAATGTAATATGATCTTTATCTGGAGTTGTAATAATTCCTGTAGTGGAAATTCCTTCTGATTTTAACTAGTTCGATCAGAACTTGCTTTGTTCAAGACCTATGTAGTTTTAACGAGTATCTATTCTCCATCCATGATCAATCTTTACTTTTTCTATTTATGGGGTTGGTTGAAAGTGAGCTTATGCCCTGCTCTGGTCTTTTGAGTTAATTGCTTTATTGGATACCAAACTGATAGAAACTTTCATGTCTCCGAAAGCTGGTGCGGAAAGGGTATAATTTTAGAAGTCCTAGACATCCGAAGCAAGTACATATTAGGAGATCAACACTGGGGACAGGATGAATGTTGTGAGCTGCACAGCATACCTGTGCTGATTGCATCGCCGCATAATGCTTCAATTCCATTTATCTCACTGTTGTTTTTGGCATACAGCGAGTGTTGTTTCTTATTCCATCTGACGATTGCATATTGCTACAAGGAAAAGACTAGTGCAATATATATATATATATATATTTTGGTAACCCAGAACATGTTCGACCTGAGTACTTTGAATCCGAGTCGGCACACCAAATAGGAGGGCAACGCTGCGACCAACACAACGTTTATCCGGGCGAATCACCGGATGTCCCAGGAGACAGTTTCAATTCCGAGACCTTTGTGTTCCAAAGGATCGTGATCATCACTGAACCAACCACGTGGAGGCTACTTTTACCGTTCTTGTTTGTTCTGGATGTAGTTCCCGTTTCACCCCTCGAGGATGACAAAACAGCATCTAAACCAGCAATTGGTTCTTTGTGGAATCCAATATTTCTTCGTTTTATTTGAATTGAAAATTGACGAGGACAGGGTGGGCTGGACTGGCATAAAATGAATTAATTTGGCTGGCCAAGTGTATCTCTTTACAGACGGTAGTAGATCCAGAGTTGAACTGAAAAGTCCCAAGAAGACATCGGAGATAATTTGATGCTATCTCGTTTTGCGCAATGGACGGATACAGGCGACAAGCAGAGTCCTACTTGAATATACGTCCGATGAAAATTTCAAAGGAAGAAAAGTAACAGATGCTGAGACAGAGATGATCGAGTTTAAGCAACACGATGATTCCTCTTATTTTGAGTTTTTTTTCCCTTTTCCTGCCCAATTTGTTCTGTGAAGGAGACAACAAATATTGACGGAAAAGAAAATTAACAAGGAGAAACAGAGACCCGCAGCCCACGAGTGGGTGGGATGTGCTGATTCATGGGAAACGCAGGGGTGGCTTGATCGAAAGATTAATATAATGAGAAGTCTTGGAATTGTTACAACTTAGAAGCATTTTATTATCTCAGCCAAAACTAAGCAAAAGAACTCATCTTTTGTTGCCAATTTAATTTCAAAAGGCTGCTTAAACGGGGGATAGGAAAGTAATTTAAACAAAATATTTAAAATGTAATTAAATTCCATCATTTCCCTACTAAAAACAATAGCAGTAATAAGCTGTATTGGTCTAAGATGTATAAATTTTGTTCATGACTTGAATTGTGAAATTATACACTACTACAGTACTACTATTTTGTTACTCCCATATATGAAGTCGTGATTAGAAAAGAGTAATTCCAGAGATTGAAAATTTTTGTGAATATCGGCTTTGGGCCCGCTCAGATGGCCCATGTCCAGTTCTGTGGACGGCCCTTGTGTAGATGTCCCATGACATTGATACCACAACTGAAGGGATGCAATGCATGTTCCAAAGTTTCGCATCGCAAGACTTCCGGCCGGCACATCTTGTTGCTGCTCCTGTCCCGTGACCTGTCCTGTCCTGTCCTCAGTCCTTAATCGTGCCGGGACCTCAAAATCAGAAGGATATATGATTGATTCTTCGTCCTTAATCGTCCCGGGACTACACCCCATTAATGATTAAACAGCAGCTGTTCCATCCATGCATATTCCTTTCACTTCACGCATTAACGTGGCAATTTTGCAACACATGGCAATAATGCATGTCGCTTTCGTTTTTCTCTGTCTTTTTTCTCCTTTTCCCCGCTAGCTCATAGAGTGAGAATAATTGAATTCTGAATACGAAACTTGACACAAAATGCAACTCTGTTCTGTATTCTCTATTGAACAACCTGTCTTTTTTTTCTTCCCCTTAACTTTCCTTTAAACAACAACAGCACATTGCAAAGAAGTTGTAGGTGTGAATGGTTTCTACTGTTTTAGAAATAGCCAAAGCTTTATCTTGCAAGCTTTCGGCTTTGGGAAATATAACGGAAAATTATGTACTGCTACTGCTCTTAGTCTTGCTTGACTTATATTTAGTGTTTTACACTGCAGTGAGTAGACGAGAGTTGATTTCGCATTCCACTGTTCTCAGTTCTCACTTGTCTGCTCAACCCCAGCCTTGAGCCTTCGTCGCTTTACAAAACTGAAGTCCCGTCTCTTCTCTCCTCTATCTAATTCTCCCACCTCTCTTTTTTCCTATCAACCGCCACCACGAGATTTCCCGGCCAAAGTTCGCCGTTACCACGCTTTTTTTTCCTGCTTTCTAGGTATCGGAATACGCTTCTCCTCCTTGTTCTCATGCTTCCTATATCTATGACAACCCCTCCTTCTAAACCTCCTTCAAAACCCAAAAACCCCGAATTATCATCAAACCGAAAGAACTACTCCAACTTATTTCAGCCTTACCTCTCATTTCACCATCCTGGTACATGCCTCCCCCTCGCCATTCTCCTCCTCCACATATTCCTCCTCCTCTCCGCTCGCTCTCTCCCTTTCTTCCCCACTTCCCACCCCTCAAAAATCCTCTTCCCTCCTTCCACTACCGTCACACCTGGTCACTCCGCCACCCTTGATGTTGATGGCTCTAACCAAACGGCCCTGAACTTGAACGTCCTCTGCCCATATGGTAAAGTCTACGTTTATGACCTCCCATCATTTTTTAACCATGAATTGCTAAAAAATTGCCATGAGCTGAGCCCCTGGAACTCAGGCTGCGACTTGTTTTCGAATCACGGCTTCGGAAAAGTCGCAAATGGGATTTCAAAACTTGTCCCCGAAAATCTCAGGCATGCATGGCACTGGACTGACCAATTTGCTTTGGAGATCCTTCACCACAACCGAATGATGAATTATCGTTGCAGAAGTTTGGAGCCCGAATCTGCTACTGCGTTCTACATACCTTTTTACGCGGGACTAGCAGTGGGAAAGTACCTATGGTATAATCATACATTCGAGGACCGCGATCGGTACTGCGAGATGATGCTGGATTGGGTGAATAATCAGCCTTACTGGAACAGATCCCACGGCTGGGATCATTTTATTACAATGGGCCGGATCACATGGGATTTCCGCCGAATCGAAGGCCGCGTCTGGGGATCCAGCTGTATTTACATGCCTGGAATGAGAAACATCACGCGCTTGTTGATAGAGCGCAACCCGTGGGACTATTTCGATGTCGGTGTGCCATATCCCACCGGATTCCACCCCAGCACAGCCTCTGACGTCATGGGCTGGCAGGATTTTGTACGCCAGCATCAGCGGAAGACTCTATACTGCTTCGCGGGAGGCACACGCGGGTTTTACAGGAACGACTTTAGAGGACTGTTACTGAGTCAGTGCTACAACAACTCGGACGCTTGCCGAGTCGTGGATTGCACCGGCTCCAAGTGCTCTAACGGGACTTCAGCAATTCTCGAATCGTTTCTGGACTCGGACTTTTGTTTACAGCCGAGGGGTGACAGTTTCACTCGTCGGTCCATTTTTGATTGCATGGTGGCCGGTTCAATCCCGGTTTTCTTCTGGAGGAGAACGGCTTACATGCAGTACGCTTGGTTTTTACCCAGTCAACCGGACAGTTACTCGGTGTTCATACACAGGGGAGAGGTGCAGAATGGAACCACGTCAATTAGAGCGGTCCTTGAGAGCATAAGCAAAGAGAAGGTAAAAATGATGAGAGAAAAAGTAATCGAATATCTACCAAGAATTGTGTATGCAAAACCAAACGAGGGGTTGGAAGGCATTAAAGATGCATTTGATATAGCCGTTGAGGGGGTTTTGAGGAGGGTTAAACAAAAAGAGGGTGTTTACAAGTGATAATTCCATCAATGCTTTTCTTATCTTAAAAATATATAGAATGGAGGGGGGGGTTACAAGTGTACTTAAGGGGATAACCTGAATTTCTCATTACGCGGGTATTATTTTAGATTAAAAGGAGCATGAAATATTAGGTTTAATTTCTTCTGTAATATATATATATATATGTATACTTTTTGGGTCTCAAAATACATTTGTGTTACATATGTATACGCTCCATTTCTCTGGCAATTAGAAGAATGTTGAACATGTATACATGTGCATTGCAATAATATAAGGCCTTTTTTGTTTTGGTTTTTGTTGGGGGCGAGGGGTGTCAATAGGGTTTCCATTGTATTGTATTATTGGCTCGGAGATGATGCGCATTTCAGCCAGCCATTAGGTTGGCGAAAGATGATCATCCTTTGTTGTGGACTTGTGGGGGCAGAAGCCAGAAAGTTGGCCAAATTCTTGAGGGATGGTGACGCGAGATAAATAGTAGTATGAATATGTCTTATATATGTGGTGCAATCACGTTTGTCTGCATGCTTCTGAATTTCGTAAATCGCCAACAATTGTTTTTATGAGCAAAGAAGAACTAACTCTGTATTTAGCCATCTAAAGAGGTAAAGACCAGAAAATAGCTGTGATTGTGTATGTAGATTGGGCGTATTATGTTCACATACGAGGAAGTAAATTAAGAAGGTTGACAACGATGGAAGATCCGGAAGTTAGATCTTTTTGACTGTCGTCCTAATTCAACCGCTTGTTTAGAATAAAGGATTAAGCATCTGTTCACTTGTTTAGAATGTTTACTTTCATTGAGGAGGTCTGCCAAGTTTCCATTCCGCAGATTTGGATGGATGGCCATGAATGATATCCAAAAAATCGAAACGCTGCGCATCTACATCTCATCTCCATTTCACATATGCTTTTTACACCTTGTCACCAATTCACTGATTGTAGTAATTCATAACTTGTTACTAATGTTGTACATTGCTTGAAAGAATTTGGCCGACAATTATTCTAAACTAGCTAGTTTGGTGAGGCCCTCTTGATGTTTGTGTAACTAGCAGAAAACAAATTATACATATTAGAATTTCTATCAAAACTAACTTTTTTTAAAAAAAAATTTGATTGTGAACACGTAGAAAATCTAATGAGCTAAATTTGTGTGGATAAATGATTATTCAATGAATTACTCACAATCATGATTGTTGGTTACTCATATAATTTAAGATATTTTGTACAATTTAAAAATAAAAAAAAACAAGGAGAGAAAAGTGGATATATATTGGAGGAAAATTAATAGTTTTATGTAAGTTATTTCAAATTAGTTTAAAGGTAATTTAGGAGTAGAATATAATGATGTAAGACCATGAGGTGCTCTAACGCTTTGTTAATAGTTATTCTAAATTTGGATCCTCCTATCCCATTTGACAATTTGTGAATTGAAACAAAACCTACGAAATTAAAGTGAATTGAAACAAAGTCTATAGCCGGCTTTTGGAGTATGCTCTGGGATTAAGGTTTGTTTGGTCAGTAAAAGTCAATTGACTTCTTGACAAAAAAAAAAAAGAAACAAAGTCTATAAAATTAATCTTGTCTAAATAATCCTTTAGTAGAAATGCTAATGGAGACGGGTACTTGGGCTACTGGGGAAGGAATAGGGTGGGTGGGGCGAATTTTTCTCTCCCTCAAATGGGGGCAGAGTCCCCAGCCTCATTCCCACCTCGTCCCCGGCATATTATATATATATATATTCTAAATAATTAATTTCTAATTAAACTATTAAATAGTTATGTATAATGTTAATTAATTAATTTTGTCTCCGATTGGATTACAATCACCATTATATATTTAGTAGCAAAAAAAGGGGATATCATGCATAAAAGAGGTGAATAGGTACACTTGAAGTTCAAGTAAAAAGTTTAGCACAGGTTCTTTGCAGAATGCGCATAAAACAAACTCTAACGCTTTACAATCCATGGAAGTTCTACTAAAACAAATTGGGTTTCCCGTTTCCGAAATTCGCTAAAAAAAAAAATAGTACGAGGCCATGGGTCTTTCACTGAACATTGTGGTGCCTTTCCTTGTGGACCTCACGGAGGGGAAGGCGATGGGCGGGAGGAACAAGGGCGAGACACCACAACAGTTTATGCCTTTATGGGAGAGGCGGAGGGAGGCAATTTTAAATGCACATGTAGAGTGTAGACTTTCACGTATTAATACCTAGAACGTGAACGACAAGGACGCCTTCGGGCCTTGATCCGGACACTCCTGTGTTGACAAAAAAAAAAAGTGAACGACAAGGATGCCTGGCATGGCAAGTTAATTTTTCTTTTAGACTCAACTCCATAGGTGTGTAGCTTTTACTTCGCATAATTAATCCAGTAGTGCTTTGACAAATCGTTTTCTCGTATTAATTATCGATATGACATATATGATTCTATGAAGTGAACCTAGGCTGTAGTCGAGAAGTCCCAATTCAGATCCTGTTTCATAATTCATTTCAATATTTAAATTTAATGAATTCAGACCTTAAGACATTCAGATTGTTTGATAACGAAAAATTAAACATCTGAAGTAATTAAATGACACTAAATTTTCTAGACAAAACTTGCTTCTAAAATTAAGTGATAAACTATTCACTTATTACTGAATGTGATATGCACTCAAATGTATTAAATTTAATACTTAATAATTCAATAATTTAATAAATTCAAACTTCAATTTTATCAAACGCATCCCTAGAGCATGGGAGTTTCAAGAACTTTGGGAATAAATATGCATGTTTAGCTTTTCAAAAGCCGTAGAAGATGCAATTCTCGTAACAAAATTAAATGCAATAATTTTCCCCTCTTTTTAAAAAGTTTCTATTATTATGTTATAAAAACATGAACAATTCTAACAAATGCTTGCTTTTAGGATTTTGTTAGTAGAATTTGACCAACATAAACATTACCAAACCACCCCTTTTTATTTCTTTTTGCCCTATGTGCTTCAAATTGGACCAAATCTGATTATGGCCCAATAAGTAATGATGTGTAGCGCTGTTGCAACGCTTATGACGTCAGGCCAACTTGGGCTTTTTTAATTATGGGGCATCGAAATTCTTACGCAAAGGCCCAAGTACCAGCTGCGGGTATTAAGCTTTGACCCTTTTTAATTTCTGCTTATTTTCGTTCTTGATCCGGAGAATTACTACAAATACACTGCTGGCAACTAATTAGCGTTGCGATCTAACGGCAATTAAGCAGTAGAATGAAGCTGGAAAAAACAGCCACAATCCAACGGTCCCGATGCCTCACCGCCGCAGCCTATAAATTCTCAAACCCTAGAACGTTTTCTTCCCTCTTTTTTGTGTTTCTGCTCTCCTGCAATTGCAGTTCCAGTGCAATTCACCTTCGATAGCAGGAGAACAAGAAAACACGCACTAACTCACCTACCGATACACAGACTTCCATACTTTAAGCCTTAAGGTAACGTCATGCCTTCATTAGCCGTTTCTGGAAACTGTTCATCAGAGATTTCCAAAGACAGGAAAAAGAAGAAAGCGAAAAACGCCGAAGCCGAGGCTCAAAAATCCCCTGAATTGGACTCTTCCATGGAGCAAAAATTTAAGAAAGAGAAGAAGTCAAAAAAGACCAAGATCAGTAATTCGGACTCTGATTCCGAAGAACTGAAGAAGCAGAAGAAGAAGGAGAAGAAGCGAAAGGCGGCGGTGATTGACGGTGACAATGTCAATGAAGAGGAGAGGAGTGATACGAGCTCGGAGTTGGGGGAGCCGATGAATTTGATGAAGAAAAAGGCTAAGTTAACGGAGGTAGACGAAGATGATGAGGAGAAGAGTGTGAAAGAGGAGCATCCGAATGCTTTAACGAAGTTTAGGATATCGGAGAGGTTGAGAGAGGCATTGAAAGTAAAGGGAATTGAATATTTGTTTCCGATTCAGGCCATGACTTTTGATACCGTTTTGGATGGGTCTGATTTGGTCGGTCGAGCTCGCACTGGTCAGGTATATTCCCTTTGTAATTCTGCAGTATTCCTTTTTGAGTACTAATTATAAATATTTGCACAAGAATCTTGTATGAGCTTGGAGAGAATGTTTCCGAATAGCATGGGTAAAATAAAAGTGGGGTCTTGGACTGTTCCTAGCTTCGTTTTTCTTGAAATTATTCTGGATAAATTTGTTAATTTAGGCTGATGAAATTTTTGTTTTTAAATATAGGGTAAAACGTTGGCCTTTGTGCTGCCTATACTGGAGTCCTTGACAAATGGACCTGCAAAAGCAGCACGAAAGACTGGATACGGGAGGGCACCTAGTGTTCTTGTACTTTTACCCACTAGGGAATTGGCCTGCCAGGTATGATCCTGGGAACTCTCCTTATAAAACCTTTGTGGATTTTGGTCACCTCCACCAAATTCTGTTGCCTTATCTTGTTTCCTCCTCTTTTACTCCCATTTGTTAGGTGTTTACTGACTTTGAACTGTATGGTGGAGCATTGGGTCTGACATCTTGTTGTATATACGGGCAATCCCCTTACAGACAGCAAGAGATTCAACTAAAAAGAGGGGTTGACATAGTAGTAGGCACTACTGGCCGTGTTAAGGTACCATGCTTTATTGCTACATCATCTTTTCTAGGTTTGCGGAAATTTGAGTTGTTCTGACGAGTGATTGTTTGCCTTTGGGAACGCTACAGGATCACATAGAGAGGGAAAATATCAACTTGAGCTCATTGAGGTTCCGTGTTCTTGATGAAGCTGATGAAATGCTGAAGATGGGTTTTGTTGACGATGTTGAGTTTATTCTAGGTATGTAAATTATTTTAATAGTTCTCTTTTAGATGCTTGGATGTTGTTAAGTTTGCTGGTATTTTGTTTTTTACTACTGTCAATGACACTTTGCTTTTGAACTTCCAAAGGCAAGGTTGAAAGTGCAAGCGAAGTTCAAACACTCCTTTTTAGCGCCACGTTACCTGATTGGGTGAAGCAAGTATGTCCTTTTCTATTGCTCAGTATCACTATCTTCATACTGAGATCAGAGTTTAAAACGGGAAATCATTTTTAGCTTTTTTTCTGGATTAGAGAAGTTCTGCTCTCTGTTGCTAGATGCTGTTTTGCAACCTACCTTTGTACTTCTCCTACACTCCTACAAGGCTGACATTTGATTTGCATGTTCAGATTGCAGCCAAGTTCCTGAAACCTGATAAGAAAACTGTAGACCTAATTGGCAATGAGAAAATGAAGGCTAGTGCAAGTGTCAGGCATATTGTCCTGCCTTGCTCTACTTCAGCAAGAGCCCAACTTATTCCTGACATTATTCATTGCTATAGCAGGTTTTTTCTGGTCAATATTCTTTTGCTAAAAGTTTTGCCTGTTCATGAAGTTAATGAAGTGCATCCTGATGTATTACCATACGATTTTGTTGATTCAGAGGAGGTCAAACTATTATTTTCACTGAGACAAAGGATTCAGCTTCTGAACTTGCTGGCTTATTGCCAGGAGCACGTGCTTTGCATGGTGACATACAGCAGTCCCAGCGAGAGGTAAAGTGTGCGCTTTTGGGAACTAAATGAAATTAAAGGTTTCCAATACTGTTGATTATTTTTTCTGGCCCCCTTATTTCTCAGTCCAGTTCCCGATTATGGGAATACTTCTATATTAAACTGTAATTGGGTGGAGGAAAAGCAGTAAATTAAGGAGCCACAACTCTTGCCAATAGGAAATGATGCTGAGTTATAAGTCATTTTGGCACACAAAATTCACTGTTATCTTTCTGCTGACTTTCTAGTGTCAAGTATAAGATATTGTACCATATGTTTGGACAATCTCGTATATTCCTATTGGTTGAATCTAAGTTTAGATTTTTAGGTTGATGTCTTCAGCTTTTGACTGATGAAAACCACCTTGCATTCAGGTTACACTCAGTGGCTTCAGATCCGGAAAGTTCACCACATTAGTGGCCACAAATGTGGCAGCACGTGGATTGGACATTGACAATGTCCAGTTGATAATCCAGGTTTGTCTTTACTATTCCAAATATCTCGCATTTCTTGATTGTAAAACCTTGTTACTTATTGTATGCAGTGATGTTTAATTTTGCAGTGTGAGCCCCCACGAGATGTAGAAGCATATATCCATCGTTCTGGACGTACAGGCAGAGCGGGTGAGTTGTGGATCCTTGGATATCAGTGACTTTGGATGTTTGAAATGTTGAATGCCTATTGATCGTCTTGCCTCTTTCTTTCAGGGAACACTGGTGTTGCTGTAATGCTTTATGATCCTAGGAGATCAAACATTTCTAAGATAGAAAGAGAATGTGGTGTGAAGTTTGAACATGTATCTGCTCCACAGCCAGCTGATATTGCTGAAGCAGCTGGTGCAGAAGCTGCAGAAAAAATTTCCCAAATCTCTGACAGGTTCATATACTACTCATTCAAGTTTGTTTTAAAGTACTTTACTCCAGCTTATACTTTTGCATATAATGTAAAATTGCAGCGTCATTCCGGCATTTAAGGCTGCTGCAGAGGAGCTACTGAACAACTCTAATTTATCCCCAGTAGAACTTCTTGCAAAAGCTCTTGCCAAGGCTGCTGTAGGTTTCTCTCTCTCTCTGTATTATATTAGGTACATATTGTCAATTTCTTATAGTGCAGCAGCTGATGAATTCAGTTTTACATGTTGGGCAGGGTTATTCAGAGATCAAGAGTCGTTCAATTCTTACTTCCATGGAAAACCATGTCACGTTACTACTGGAGTGTGGAAGGCCCATCTACACGCCCTCGTAAGCACTAGAATCCTTTTAGATTTAATCTTGATAGTGCCGCTGCTTGTGCTCGACTGACTTGGTTTTTTCTTGGCATGTAAAACCCCTTGAGATTATTATTCTCTCAGTTTCCCTTATTGCCAGAAAGCAAATTCGGAATGAATATGAAAACAAACACTTTGCATTTTCCCACATTATACAGATAACAATTTTGGGCTAGATGGTTTTGGCTGACTTGTTTTTGGATTGTGAGCGTACCATTTTTAAATTGGCCAACATAATGTGCAGTGATTTGATTCTTAAGTTGGAGATTGAAACTTGTTCTTTGTAGATAAAAGTTTCTTATGCCGATTGTAATGCATGTTAACATGGGATGAGTCTTGAATTTTAGCTAATACTGTGTTACTTTTGCTTTCGCTTTGCCTCAAAAACAAAAAAGGTATTGGACTATGGTCCAAAACTTAGAAACTGCATCCTAGTGTTCTGCATGTAGGCATGATATAGAGTGGAGTTTTTGAGCAATTGTTTGTGCTTTTTTATGTGTGTCATTCTCTGCCTTAATAATCCTTTTGATGTCTTCTTGTGGCAGCTTTGCTTACAGCGTGCTGCGAAGGTTCTTACCTGAAGAAAAGGTCGAGTCAATTAAGGGTCTTGCTTTAACGGCTGATGGAAAAGGGGCCGTGTTTGATGTGGCTGCTGAAGATCTGGACTTGTTTCTCAAGGGTACATTTCATTCTTTACCCCTTGATATAGAAATAATGTGGTCTTGGTAATATTAGAGGTGATTTGCAATATTATTCATGACAAAGATTCATCTTTCAATTAATAAGATGAAATTTCTGACACCTATGAATGGCAGAGGGTCACTGAAATTGCAACTATTGCCTTCCTAAAAATGGAAATACTTGTATTTCTTGATTTAGTTTTTGTACTCAAAAAGTATTTTTCCTCCACTTGTGGCGGTGCAGGCCAGGAAGGTGCTGGTGGGGTTAGCTTGGATGTTGTGAAGTTATTGCCACGGTTGCAAGACAGAGACCAGGTAAGAGGTGCAAGATTTGGGAGTGGTGGTCGTGGTGGCTTTTCTGATAGGAGGGGGGGTGGTAATCGGTTCTCTGGGGGAAGAGGGGGAAGAGGCGGTTCATCTGATAGGAGGAATGGTCAGTTCTCCAAAAGTCCAAGCGGTGGGGGAGGTTTCAGAAATAACAGCCGTAAATGGTGAAGTTTTCTTGCCAAAATGGCAGCTTGAAATTTTGTGGTGGTTTTTATGAGTTATTCTGTCTTCTTAATTAAGCAATTCAATTGACAATTTTTTAGTAGGTGCATCCCATTTCTCGTGCCTGTATGTTTCGGTTTCTATGTATGTCCCATTTTTTTCCCAGGAGATAATTCTACAATAGAGTTTTGGGGGTTTTGCTGGGTTCCCCATCTTAGGTCCTTGATTTTGCAGAAACTGCGAGATTTGTATCTTCAATCTGCGATAGAGCTCAGTGTATCTTCAATTAATTATCGAATCATCTTAGATTGTTTGGGAGATATATTTTATTTTCGCTGAAAAACGTCGGACGCGCTGGATAATTTTTCCTCCTGCTCCTCTTTTTTTTTGTGCCTCCTCTTAATCATCATGGACCGTGTAGCGTTAGCAGCGGGGAAGAAAAGTCGATGGAAACGAGGATCTATGGAGCACTGACCTGAGCGCTACACAGAATGGCCACACGGTTTAACGAAAAGAAAACTGAACAGTAAATTCAGTACTCAAATAAACTTCCTTCGCTGAAACGGACGCTAGTGCTATGTAATTATGTATAATACACTGAAAACTTATCATTGATAAATTGCGTAGTAGTACTCGCGGGAGGAAGAACTTGGCAAGGTCTATGCAGCTAAAATGTCCAAGAAATTTTCTCCTACTGATTAAAAAAAAGAAGAAAATTTCCAATTTCTTTCACACAGTTTCGGATAATAAAGAAAAATAAAAGTTCTGCCAAAACTGATATGAGCAAATTCTTCTAACAAGCCATTTACTGCAAATTCTTACTCTAAACTTGTGCTGTTGCAGAAAAAACTCAGATGGGTACTTCTGTGCTAGGATCGAATGAGGAGGCACACTGCTCCTTTCCTTGAATTTGCACGGACTGGAGTTATTGAGAATGGTTGATTATTTATAAATTTATAATACTGCTCTAAAAGAGTTTCTTTACACTACAATGACCATAATTTAAAAAAAAAAAAAAAGGCACGTAGGATATTACGGCTGCCGGGCACTAGCAAGAAGAGTTTCTTTCTTCGTTTCTTTTCCCCGCTGCTTTATACTAGTTGCTTCTCCTACGGACGTGGGACAACATCCGAACTGGTCGATACACAGTTCCAGTCTTCCAGACTCGTCCCCCTGATTTCCTCAATGCATCATTCTCCACGGTCACCCACTCCACTCTTTTACGTCCCAAAACATCACAAAATATTAAATTTTAAAGCCCTTCCCTCAAGTTCCCATTTTTGACCTTCCAATTCCTCTCTCTCTCTTCTTCCCCTCTTCATATCCGAGTTTCTCAATTTGTTCTCAACAAAACCCTCAGAAGATGATTTTGTGACCTGATTAATGCCCATTTATTGCAATTTGCGACACCATGGCATGGTACAGAAGATCTAGATTAGTTGATGCCTTTAAGACCTTCACTACTAAGATTGTGCCCAAAAGCCCGATCACAAACTCCCTTCCAAAGCCCTACCAGCCACAGTATGCTTCTTATACTTCCACCGGTAACACATCCAGGGCTAACGGATTTGGCCTTTGTGCACCAATTTTCAGAAACTCAGGTTTTCAATTGGGGCTCAAGCAAAATCAGTGCCGCCCTTCTTTAGGTGGGGCAAGAAGATATTACTATGTTGATCGGCACCAAATTTATCACTTTCGGCCCCGAGGGTACAAAAAATGGTTTCAGAATCCAAGAAATGTGTTCATTGTGATTTTGGTGGGTTCAGGGGTGGTGATTACTGTTTATTTTGGTAACTTGGAAACTGTTCCTTATACCAAAAGAACCCATTTTGTGCTTTTGTCCAAAGGTCTTGAGAGACAGCTTGGGGAGCATCAGTTCCAGGACATGAAAAAGGCGTTCAAGGGGAAAATTCTGCCACCCATCCACCCGGAGAGTGTTAGAGTGAGGTTGATTGCAAAAGACCTCATCGAGGCTCTGCAACGAGGGCTGAGCAAGGAGCACGTGTGGACTGATCCTGGCTATGCATCTGACCATGCATATGAGCCAGATGAGAACAGTGGACATGAGACCTTGATGGCATTGAGTGATAATATGTCTACCACTGAAGGGAAATGGAACAGGGAGGATGAGATCCTTGATGATAAGTGGGTCCAACAAAGCCGGAAGAGCGGTCAAGAGAAGGGGAAGTCACCTGCAACTGGACATTTGGAGGGTTTAAATTGGGAGGTTTTGGTGGTTAATGAACCTGTTGTGAATGCATTTTGTTTGCCTGGTGGTAAGATTGTAGTTTTCACGGGGTTGCTTGAGCATTTTAGAACTGATGCTGAGATTGCAACTATACTTGGACATGAGGTATAATTTCGTGCTTTTCGCACATTTAATCAATTAGTATTATTTTGTATTTTTGGCATATTTAATGAATTGTAATTTTGTTTCTCTTAGCACATTTAATCAAGTTGTTCTGAATTAGCTGAAACCTTTTGCTCGATAGGTTGCTCATGCTGTGGCTAGACATGCTGCTGAAGGAATTACTAAAAACCTGTGGTTTGCGATTGTGCAATTGATTTTATATCAATTTGTCATGCCTGATGTTGTCAATACAATGTCTAATCTTTTCCTACGGCTTCCTTTCTCAAGGAGGTAAATGTTTAATGTGTACGATTTGTATGGCAGCTTTTCTTTAATATAAAAGCTTCAAAGTTTGATTTGCTAACATCGTTATTGTTGTGCTAAGGACACTGGGTTCTCACATCATGTCATATCTCTATAACTTTTTGCATTGTCCTAAGATTCAAGAGCTCCCTATCAGTGATGCCAACATATGTGCCTAAAAATTTGATTTTGCAGATGGTGACCTTTTGAGCTATATGTTTGATTGCTTGTTTACATACTATCCTTACGTGCATTATGGATACTGAAAGGTGCCATGCTTTTGAGATGTAAATGTCTTAGGCTTGCAAGGTTCGCCAACTCGGCCGAGTCCGAGACGACTCGGCCGAGTCGTAACCGGAACGGTCCCTACCGTTCCGATACCGATACCCGAAACGCGGATATCACCATATCCGCGATGACTCGCTCTGACTCAACCGATATTGACCGATTCGAATCCGTGATGCATGATATCGGCCGATATACCCGAGTCAACTCGGAGTCGACTCCGATATTTTTTTAAATTATGTCTTTTTTAATATTTTCTAATTTTAATAATTTTTCAAAATTTTTGGAAACTTTAATGTGTTATAATGTTCGTATCATCCGATATTCAACCGATATGTCGCGACGGATGTGGAACAATCGAGACCGCGACGCGACCGCGACCCGCGATGGCGAACCATGCTTGCAACTGAAACCTTGTTAGAGACAAGCCTTTGGCTTCAGTTAATGTGATGCTTTGGTTGCTATTCTTATTGCTGTGCTCTTTGCTTTTTCCTTTCTCTCACACGTCTTATTATCTCTATTTATGTACCTGGGAATAACATAGGATTTTCCAGTTTTTGTTAGGAATGCTGTCTGATATATATGAGAACCATTTCTGTAGATTGATTACTTTTGGACTGCCATTCCAAATACTAAGAGTTATATTGGTCTATGTGGTAGGTTTGTGGAGAAATGTTGAATCTGTACTTTCTTTCCACTAGCTCATACTGAATGCTAAATGTTTGGAAAGTAAGAAACAGGGTATTTTCTCACTCTCCCTGCCTATACATGCTTAGAATTGTTTGATAGAGGGAGCCTTGTCGTGCCAGCTATCAGTTTAGCTATACCCATTTTTCCCTTTAAATACTGTGTTATAATCTGTATATGACTATATTCTTGTAAGTTGTTGTTTTGGAAGATGGGTAACAAGCTATTTTCAGAATTAACCTGTCAGTAATCAGTTCATTTGGCAGGATACGAGTTCAGGAAACTATTTAGTAATACAGGACATTGTATAGTGCATTTTAATCTAGATCTTCATTGAGTACCTCATCTATCACAGTTGTTGAGCCACATTACCTTAAGTTAGTCTTGCTGCATGTGACTTCATTCACAAACAATTTCTAATAAAATTGTAAAACAAAAGAGACCAAGACTAACCTTCTTGTATACAGAAAAACGAATTGTGGCACATAGAAGTATAAGAGAAGAGTGGAAAAGCACTGGGAGGCATGGAGTTATGTTCTATATATTTATGGCGTTCAAGTGCAACAAACAGGGAGGGAGAGGCGGGGTATATAGCATGGGAGAGAAGTACTTTAATCTTTGAGATTCTTGAACCAGATAAAGGTGATTGAGAGATTTTGACTGAGAGATTTTGACTGTATTTAACTTAACTTGAATATGTTTTATGGCTCAAACTTCTTGGGACCACTAGGAAAGAAGAACAATTGTGTCTTCATTCTTATAGATATTGAAAGCTCTGGAGAAACTTCTTAACAACTGCATTCAGTCTATGTCTTGGTTACTCTCTGAAGTCTGAAGTATTGCTGCACCACTGGTGACCAAAATAATGCAAACTTGTGATTGAATTTTAATTGGCTAGGCATTACTTGCTGATTAATCTGCCAGGTTTGTATTTTCATTTCTTGCCTTTGATAACCTTGTACAACTTGTTGTCACTTACATTTACGTTCCCTTGTAGGATGGAGATGGAAGCAGATTACATTGGTCTACTTTTAATGGCTTCGGCAGGGTATGATCCTCGAGTGGCTCCCAGGGTGTTTGAGAAGCTGGGTAAAGTAACGGGTGAATCAGCACTACGGGATTATCTTTCTACTCACCCGTCAGGAAAAAAGAGAGCTCAGTTATTGGCTCAAGCAAAAGTTATGGAAGAAGCCTTGCTCATATATAGAGAAGTACAAGCAGGACGAGGTATCGAGGGTTTTCTATAAGGGCCAAGACATTTACGTGTTGCAGTTTCACATTGTCAACTGTGGGTAACTTGATTGCTTGGCATCTCCCACTTACTGATGAAACTTTGAGAATCATCAAGAACTGTTTATTGATTATCTTTATGTTTTTTTTTTTCCCTATTTCCCTTCATATTCGAAATCCTTCGGTGAATTTTGTACTTGTTCCAATTTACTCACAGAAACAGAAAAATGTTCAGAAGAGGAAAAGGTGTCCGTGTGACTGACGTATCTTTGTTAATAGTAATGACTCCTAAATGAGGAGGACATGCTTCATGGCAGAATTGAACAAAGCCCCAGTAAAATTCACAGAATTGCAAAAGGTCGTTGCCTTTTTGTCAGCTATGACAGAACCAGAATATCAGTGAAATGGGGGTGACGTGTTGCTCTAATTTATTTATTTAGTTTGGTGAGATCTCCACAATCATTCTCCCTTTTTTTTTTTTTTTCCCTGTTATGAGTATATGCCAAATGGTTATGCACATAGGAACGAAGAATTCAGCTAAAAAGTGGACGACAAGATGTTGAAGAACAAGACGGCCAAAGCCGCCAGTGAAAAATTCTTGCTCATCAGCATGAAATTTGTCCAAGTCCGTGTCATCAATCGGTTGTGCGAACTCGCTACTGCTTGTCATCGTTGCGGTGGCAGGCAGCAGTAGGTGCAGTTTTGTTTTGGGGGGGGTACAATACAAGCATAGTAAGCTGCAGCGGCTCACAAGCGTACAGTTCAGACAAGTTATTGGTGAATGGAGACTGGTGAGTGCCTACAAAAGCTTTATATGCACATGTTTCAATTTCAACACAAAGCCGCTTTAGAATTCTGTGATTTACTGTAATACTTTGACCCCTCTAGTTCAACAACGGGTTGAGGAATGTGCTCGGATTTTTGTTGGCAAGGGCGCTGTCAATGTTGTTGTAAGAACTTGTATAATACATTCGATAACAGCATGCATGAATCTGTTTGTCTCAAATATTGCGGTTGGAGAGTACAAAGCCTGGATGACAGGCTCCTGGATTCCCACGGGATTGTTTTGCTTTAGTCCTTGTAACGATGATTATAGGTGTGTGTCGAAAGCAATTGTTTGCCCCTTCCGTCATTTTACAACACATAATTCATCATAGAACGGAACCCTCGTATATACTAATAATTATTTGGATGGAGGCCAAAAGGCCCGGTACACAGAGATAATGGATGCATCCATCCATCATAAGGTCCGCCCGCAGTTAAAACAGAGGTTTCAGCGGCCTCTTCGCACAGACGACATATCTTTTTCTTACTAATGGACGAATTTGGATGGAGGCTTGCCATTTGGATTTGGGTGCCAAAAGGGATCAAAATGCAGACCCACAGAAGATAGCAAGGGTGTTGCCCGTGATCCCGTGATTTTTATCTTTACGCTGAGAGCGTGCACCGCACCCTTTTCCAGCCTGTGCAGCCTCTTGTGGCCCACCGTCGTTCCGCTGGCAATCCTCTTCCCATCCGCGTACACTTCGTGCTGTCGGATCCTCTGCCCCAACCCGATCGCTTCCTGAATCCTAACCACATTGAATCTCAGCGGTCCGTCGGAGGCTCTGAATTCTATCCAGTGATGTTCTTTGTCGTCGTCATCGTCACTGGGGGCCCAGTACGTCCACAGGTGGTCCCCGTCCACGACGTTTTCTGGGCCAAAACCGCCTCCTTTACCTCCTCGTTGGCTGCTGGCAGTAACGGAACAGTTTTCAGCCAGATTGGAGGAGAATACGGTGTCAACTGCTTTTCTAAATTCTCTGAGCCTCAGAATGTCGCTTTCGGAAATGAGGCCTGTGGGATTAGGGGGCACGTTAAGGAGTAAGACGCAATTTCTTCCGACGGAATTGTAGTAAATTTGAAGGAGTTGGTGGAGTGGCTTGGGGGATTGGGATTTATGCCAAAACCACCCGGTTCGAATTGAGACGTCGCACTCGGGAGGTAGCCAGTCGGTGCCTTTGGGATCGCCGGTGTTGAGATAACTGCACCATTTTATTATCGAAAAATAAGCATTATTCGATTCGATTTGGAAAAAAAAAAAAAAATGTATCTTTTTTCTTTTGTGGATCTTACGTTACTTTTATCGTAAATGTTACTCCCCAGTCCCGGCATCTTCTTAGCTTCTTATTTTCTAGTGCCGTGTTCGCACTGTCAATGTCAATTCTTCTGATGTTTACTGATTGTATAACAGTGATTAATGGCTAAGACTGGATTATTGATTGTGCAGGATAAGAAAAATAATGCCGTTAATCATGAATAACATTAATGTTTAAAGTTATGGGTTAAAATCCATGATGTTTTGACTGCAAGCTAGAAATATTACTATTCATTTCTGTTGATGGCATCAACAGAAATGTTTTGGTTTTGTACAAATAATATCATAATATTAATAATAATAACACCTACAAATAATAATAATAATAATCTGAGCGAGAATTTAAGAATACTTTTTTTCAATCGTAATGTAAAGGTCAAGATACTGGACATGTTTACCTTGTCAATAACTCATCATCTAGAATAGAGAAAAGACAAGGAGATTCTCTGCATGATTGTCTCGCACTAAATTCCAAGTGTTATTCATTATTGACAAAATCATCAAATATTTGGCTGGAAACAAAGTTAAAGATGGATGGTCTGCCTCTTTGATTCTAAAGATTCTAAATCTCGTAGATTAATTAGCTTCTTTTTTCTTTTTCTTTTTCTTTTTTTTAATGAAAGGGAGATAGCTAGATGGAACTACTATCATGTAAGAGTTTACTTACCCGACGATACTAGCATTGCCAATTGATAAGGCAGTTCGATTAATGGTGGACCAGCATGTGCTTCCGGCGAACCCTTGCTCATTTCCGACCCACCTGACGTCCGGACCAGCATCCGAGAATATGTTGATGGAGCTCTGCAGTTCCCTCACCAATGAAAACCAGTCGCCGAAATCATACGTCATGTTTGGTGCATTGGAACCCTTGGCTCCGTCAAACCATATTTCCTTCACACTTCCGTATCTGTCATCGCCCAGTCACAACAACAATAATAATAATCAAACAAATAAACCCATAAAAATCAAACCGAAACAGTTCTGAAAAAGCGAGCGTATCGACTCACTTGCGTAGTAATTCTTGTAGCTGAGCCAGGTAGTATTCGTTGTACTCCTTATTCTTGCCGTATCTTGGATCATGACGATCCCACGGAGAAAGGTACAATCCGACGTCCACCCCGCGAGGGTTGGCTGCATTGACAAGCTCTTGAACGACGTCCCCCTTGCCATTTCGCCAAGGGCTGCTGATGACGGAATGATCGGTGTATTTAGAGGGCCATAAGCAAAAGCCATCGTGATGTTTAGCAGTAAGTATGACCAGAGAAACGCCAGCTTGAACGGCCGTATCAACCCACTGGGCGGCGTCTAGGACTGTTGGATTGAAGATGGCCGGGTTTTCTTGCCCGGTGCCCCACTCGGAGTCCGTGAATGTGTTGACTCCAAAGTGGAAAAACATGATGATTTCTCTCTGCTGCCATTTCAGTTGAGAATAGGAAGGCAGCGGAAGGATGGGAAGAGGTGGAGTTGTTGCGCTATTCGCCTGCACTTGGCTCGCAATGGTAGCCGCCGCATGCAGCGAAATGAGCAGTGATAAGACCGTGCAAGAAAAGCAGTAGTGGTCGTAGTTAAAAGGGTTAGCCATAATGTGCTTCTGAGTGATCTCTTAATCGGTTCGCACCTTATCTTTTTGTAGTGGTGGGGTGGGGACTAGTAATTACTGGTAAAGGAGAAGGAAGAGATTCTTTGAGCGTTAAAGACCCCCCCCCCCTCTTTTCTCTCCCCCAAAAAAAAAAGAAAAAAAAACTTAATAATAAAGGGTTGGAAGGAAAGCTAATGTAGAGATGTGCTGCGATGGGATTGTTCGTGTGCTTCTTCTTCCTGTTTAATTTTGGAGCTACAAATTGCAATTATTGTTTTCACGGGGTCACCTTATCTCAATCATAGACGGTTTGTCCCTGATCTGAGTATGTACTCGCTCGACTAGGTTATGGCCGGTCGTGTCGTACTTGTCTGGCCAATTTCGTTTGACACAGAGGGGATCAGAGAGAAACAGGGAGATTTGTCTCTCTCTTTTTCTTTTTTTTGGTTTGTTTTTTTCTTTTGGGGAACTAAGAAACAGGGAGATTTGTCTCGAAGCTTGTCATCGGGATATCTTCTTCTTCTGGGGTTTGCCCGTTTGAGTAGTAGTCATGCTATTCATAATGGGGTTCCAACCATGGTAAATCAAATGTCAGTAGTGTATCATCTGCTACATTGCGTCGGCTGTTGGTAGCTTAAGCAACATAAAATCACAGTTTCAAGTGAAAGTTACGTGATGAACTTGATCTTCAAATATACATACAGCGCGTAATTAGTAGTAATTAGGTGCGAGACGTGAGAACGAATCACTTTAATTTCCGGATTATGCGACACACACACACACACTATACATATATATATTGGCAAGAAACAGATTAGCTACATATTGAAGGCTGGCTTTGAAGTCTATGGAATGAAAATTGTTACATAATATATATATATATATATATATATATATATATATATATATATATATATATAGTTGGGAAAAAGAAATAGTAGTAGCATTTTTACACAAATAGAGACCAGGAGGAAAATATGGCTACGTAATTAAGTTGGAACCAAGAAAATGATAAATATCATCTATCCCTTATAGACTCGATGAATCTTAATAATTGTTTTTCATTTATATTCAAAAAAGAGACAACGACTTGGCACGACCAGCCAAAAGAAAGAAAGAAAGAAAGAAGCTCATGATGAAATTAGAGCAAGCACCAAATATTTACCTGAATGATGACAAGATAAACGCTTTCAATGCGCTCTAGAAATCACAGAATCATCATCAGCTATTGAGATCTTAAGCTTGAAAACTACAATCAATACTTACAAATCTTTTTCTTGGTTCCACTGCCACACAAATCTTTTACTTCAAACATCCTTCCAATATTACGCTCATTTACAACAAATATAAACAGGATTAAGCGACCAATAAGTGTTAAGTACAAAGCTTGATCACCGTCGTCTATTTCATCTTTTCATTCTTCCAAACAGTGTTTGTAACTTTTTTTTAAGTTCCGATGCCATCATCTTTTCAAGTCTCATTTTATTGCACGTACGCTAACTGTGCCAATGTTGATCATCACTAATTAATTCAGTACTCACATGGCTGCTTAAAAAGGTATTAGGGTTTTCCTTTCATAGATCACCTCAATTCCTTTAATCAATCGGAATACATTTTCTATTTCTTCATCAAATGCGATCAAGCAAGGAAATCATAAGACGAACTTCAGTCATATACAAGTACATTCTTTTTGCAGATGCAGCCAGCCAAACATGTCTAGGATTTATCAGCATTAAATATAATAATGCCAAATAGAGAAAAGATGTTAACACGATGTCAAGATATAATAATGCCATTTGCAAGTACATTGAGAAAAAAATCTAAGGGTTGTGCCAGATCACTCCCTTGGTCTAGTTAGGTCTGTATACCCACAGCCTCCTTAGGCTCTCCCTCCCCCTAGATTAGGATAGAGTAGGTTATACAAATGTATCGTTGCTGACAAAAAAAAAAAAAAAAAAAGTACATTGAGAACACGTGCAATTATAACGAGATTAATAATCTTGATCGGGAAAGATACCCTGCAAGTAATTTTTGAAATTTGGGCACCCTTCATTAATTAATTGGAATTAATGACATTAAATAATTTGAGCTTCACTTGAAAAAGGTTAATGGGAACGCTACTTGCAAAACTCTTTTTTAAGTATCAACATATTAAATCCCAACTCTTATCACAATTGGAAAAAATGTACGCGTATTGAACTGAAGTACACTTGAGCAAAGTTAATCAGGAAAAGAATGTATTATACAGTTCTTCAAAAACTCATGAGATAGGACGAAGCTGATACAACAA